ATTTTTTGACTGAATTTGAGTCAAAGTTTCACGCTAACAAGACAAATAATCTTACACATTCTGAAAACAAGATTATTATTCTTACACAATCAGTTCTTGTTTAGTAAATCAGTCTCAAAACAAGATCAAAAATACTTTTTGGCTGGATATGATTTTAAAACTTGGTAAGATGGACAGTTTTTGCAGTGCAGTATCTTTGTTTAAAACTTTGTACAAATACACTGAAAACGATTCAATAAACTTTAAATGAACAAATTCGGAATTGTCTTGGAGTCCTGATGAATAAAATAAAATCTAATTTTAAGTGGCTTTAAATCACAAACTCTAAGCAGCTCCACTAAAAATGGATTAAAAAAGTAGCAGTTCTCTTCTCTACCAGCAGGTGGAGCCAGCACACCGATAATGAAAAACTCCTTAAAAGCGAAACAGAGCCTCGATCTGCCAAGTAATTAAATAAACTCCTGCTTCAGTTTGAATCGTTGTAACCGACGGAGTCTGTTGAAATAACCTCATTTTGGTTCAGCAAAAACAAACTAACATCGTTTCACAGGGAGCCAAAACACAGTGTTTGTGTTGGGGGATCCAAATGACTTTCTCCTGAAGTAGGTCGCTGACAAATGACACTTACATAACGCCTCAGAGACATGTGGTGGGCTTTTCATCAGTGAGGGGAAAAAAAAGTGAGGGGGGGAAGTCACATGTTTTACCGACTGGAGGTAGTCCAGCAGTTGCGTGAGCTGAAACAGCCTCTGCGTCCGGGTGGTCTCGCCGTGGTTGCTGGCCAAGCGGTCCAGCTCCTTGATGTAGGAGGTCCGCAGTTCGTCAAAACAATGCTGGCTCTTCAGGCCCTCCACTGGCACTGGGACCACAGAAAAAAAAATAGAACACAACAATAATTCTCACCGACTTTATCCGTCCCATCACTTCTCTGAAACATGGCTGCGCTCCACTCGGGTCATAACTCACTCGCCTACGATTAAGCTATCCTTTATTTTTTATTTTGATTTAGGACACGGTGTCAGCTGACTCACTGATGCTGAAGAGGACCAGGGCCTTCATGCAGAGGAACTCCTCCTCGGTAACCTCCAGCTTGCAGAACCTCTGGGCGAGCAGCTTCATCCTCAGGCAGTGCTCGTACATACTGGACACTTGCATCCGCTGGCTGTGGGGAAGGGTCAGGCGAAGACAAGCAAACAAAAACAAAGAAAAAGACAGCATGAGTGGGGAAGCTTTGAGCACACGAGGCACGACAAAAAAAACCCGAAGAAGTGTGAAGCCCGGAGATGTGGCCGATCGAGCGAAATCTAGACGGGAGGAAGAGAATTAATGGCTGTGAGGACAGGAGTGGTGAGGAGCGGAGAAAAAGCAGCAGGGGTGAAAGGAAAAATGAGCGAGATGGATAATGGAAAAGGAGAATGACACGGAGATGGAGAGAAATGAGGGTCAGCGTGAGGGGCAGGCGTACCCATTAACCATGCAGGTCACAGGCAGACACAGAGGTAAGGAGGTCTAACGCGCACAGGAGGACAGTTTCGCTCATGCAGCACAAAATGCAACAACAAAAAAAAGGAAAACATCTTCCAATACCTTAAGTTGTTTTTAAAGTTCAAAGAAAAGACAAAAGTTTCGGAAAACGACTCGATTGAGCCTCGATGGTTGCAGCGCGACGCAGAACTCATCAAGGTGACAAAAAAGAAAATTAATTGAAAGAGAAGAAGCAACGTCTCGGCGCCGCGGCGCTTCTCGGAGATCAGCGGCAAGATGAAATGGAATAAATGATCAGAGGTGATCCCTCTGCGGCCACGTATACGATCAGACGCAAAGAACAGAACGACGCTTGTTTACCATCTCGTCTGGCAAAGAAAAAGAAAAAAAGAAAAAGGAAAATGAGACGTTTATTGTGTGGTTAGTCAGTCTTCCTCTGAAGTTCGTATTCCTCTGAGTCTTGTTCTTTCCAGTGACGATGACAGGTGAAATCTCCTGGTGTCCCCGACAAACCCCACAGAGTGATACCCGATCACGCCCAAACTCTTTGTTTGATGAAAACGCTGCGCCGAACTTGGTCAACTTTTCTTAAAGCAAAAACTTTTTGATGGTAAACCACATTGTGGGTATAAAAATAAATAAATACGTATTTAGTTGTTGAGTGGTTTAAATACACTTCCCATGAGTAAATATGACATATTTTTAAAGCTTTTATTAACTTTTTGGGTTTTTTTTCCCTCAAGTATTACAAAATTCAGGTTTTTAACGTTTGATCTTCTCTTATCCACTCAGGGTCACGAGTATAAACAGTCTTAAATATAAGCTTAGCACAAAAAGTAAGGAAGTTAGTGTTTGGTAGATTATTTCTTTGTTGTAAGGTTTTTTGGCAATAAATCTTATAGCAGGCACCTGATTGGCAGCATCTGGGGGAACCCGAAGTTGAAAACACGTTACTCTGCGTGGTGTCCCAGTGCGTGGTCATGCACCTCCGAATTTTTGTAACTCTGCAAAGGCTGCGCACCATTCAAACAGTTTGTTTGTCTGTCAAGCTTTTGCTCTCCTATTTACATTTTCATAAGCTATAATTTGTACTGATACGTGTCCTTTTGGAGAAAACTACAACAGCATATCGTCAGTGTAAACACCTACACTGCTGGCAAGGGTGTGCACACGCCATGCGCGACTATAACCCAGCCTATATTCAGCTCTACTGCTCATCCCACAATAGCATGTTCCTTACAAATGTGGCACCATTTAAAAGGGAATTTAACAGGCTTTCCAGCGGTATGTTTATTGCCCAACATTGTTATGACAAAAAAAAAAAAAAAAACACAACACAAGTTTCCTTACTTTTTGTACTAATGTTTTAAATAAGTGGTGCTGAAGGATGTTGGATGTCCCAACCTGACAAGACCAAGGCACGTCTCATTAGTGCTCATGATTGACTCCAGCTGATAGCTCTTGGAGCATGAGCATGATTCACCGGACAAATATTTATTTGGCTAATGCACAGAACATCTGAGAAGGAAAATTGAAAATCTTCCTTAAGTGGGGAAAAAAAAAACTGTGTGAAAGTACACTCAGATGGGTCAGGTCTTTGCCAATACCAGAAAGAAGACCCAAACTGCCTCCCTCAGATGAAAATTGTTTAGGATGTTCAGGGAAAAAAAATGCAGGAACCCCCAAAGGCTCAAGCCTGCCCTGAACTAGAAACTGCTGGAACACCAGGGACCTGTTTGCAGTGAAACCAGTTTCACATCATGGACTGAGAGGGTGTCGACCACGAAAGAAACAAGCAGCACCTTTATTGTCAACTGACAAACCAAATATCTTCTGGAGAAAAAAGATTTGAAGCCAGACAAGACAGAATCTATGCTTTTTGACCACAATATGGCACCTGTTTGGTGTAGTTAAGATGAAAACACTGTACAAACTGTCAAGCACGGTGGAGGTATAATCATGATGTGGTGGACCCCCAAACCAGCCAGTCGTGGCAGATGGCTGCCTGTCCTGAGTCTGGTTCTGCTGGAGGTTTCTTCCTGATTAGCAGGGAGTTTTTCCTCTCCACCGTTTGCTCAGGATGGGAGACTGTGATGAAGTGATTCAACACAATCTGCTGGTTTCTTCTTTAGATTGTTCTTTTTTATGTACAGTGCCCTGAGACAACATATGTTGTGACTTGGTGCTATTTAAATAAACTGAATTGAATTGAATTGAATTGGTGCATTACACAAAGTGGATGAAATAATAAAAGGTGGTGGCCTACCTCCAAATTCTTCAGCTCTAATCTACAGGTACATAGTTGTATTTTTGACCATCATACAAAACACACAAAAACTTTCTGAATGGACAAACATTAAGCTTCTGGAATGGTCTTCTCAAAGCCAAGACCTACCTTATTAACCGTTTGTGGGCTACAATTAAAAACTGGGTCTGCACCAGGAACCTAACCAACTTTATATTGATGAACTCAACCAGTTCTGCTACAAAAGTCGTCAAATAACTGAAGCTGAATTCCAACGCATTTTTGAAGCCAGATGAAACTAGCTGAGGGGGGTGTATGTAAATCCCAGAGCTTGTATTTATAATTTTGACCCTGTGTGGATAAAAGAAAATCTACAATAAATTCAAACTAAATTAAAAAAAACTCAGGGCCCCTGGTGCCAAATGTGGCCCCCCACAGCATTTTGTGTGGCTCACGAGAGCTTCAAAGATGTATCAATCTCGTAAAAAAGCGTATGTTGATTTAAAACCAGCATTGACCTTAAACTACATGTCCCATAATGCATGTCGAATATTTTACTCCCAAAATGAGCAGCAGCGCACCGCTAGATGTAGGTGCACAGGGTTCAAAAGTAGTTGGCGAAATTTGACTTTTAAAATCTACATTTCACTGCATTTTTGCTGGCTACTTTTAACATGACCCAGGTGCTCTGGGAAGTGGGAAACAGAACCCCACCCCATCCATTAGGGCTGCCACAAACGATTATTTTAATAATCGATTAATCACAGATTATTTATTCGATTAATCGACTAATCGGATCATATGCTAATTGAATATAAAACATACAGCTTATCACGTCAGAATACAGCTGCTATTATATAACCATGGTTAGATTTTAGCTATATGCTAACTAAAAATAATTGCTGTGGAAGGCAAGTTCTGCTCTGCAGATATTMCACAGGTTTCTCTTTCATTTTCTTAAAATGATCCCACACTTTTGAGCTCCGTTGTCAGGTAGCCATGATACCAGAGCCTGTCTGTATAATGTCTTGTGACGTCCACGGCCTACCCCAGTTACCACTACTGTGCATGTGTGTCAAGGACAGAAAGGCAGATGTGGCAGTGGAAGGTGTCAAAGCAGTTTGGAGAGAAAAACAAAGTAAAGAACAAMAAMAAAAAAAAAAAAAAAARAAAAAGATTAATCGATTATTAAATTAGTCATCGATTATTTTAATAATCGATTAGTCGTCGATTAATCGATTAATCGTGGCAGCCCTACCACCCACTAGTGCAAATTCTACGTTGGGAAGTCGAGGAGTACACGACTCAACAGTGAGTAAAACTCCTTTACTTTTACTTTTAGTAGTAATTCTGTATTATTTATTTCACATTTAGTCAGTCGTACACGTACTACTTCTCAGTGTTTAGAAGAGGACGTGTTAAACGCTGTTTCTATGTACAAAATACCACAAAGAGCTCAGTTATTGTTTGTTAGTGGGGCTCAGCCACAGCAATGAGATGAGGTGAAGTTTCATGGTTAGTCAAAATTGCACATGAAACATCAAAGTTAATTACAACTGGCCCTTTGAGGGCCACCATAACACCCTGTGGCCCTCTCTGTAAATGAGTTTGGCACTCCAGAAGTAAACCATTAAAAGCTTTAAATGAATCTGACATTGATGCCTATGATGAGTAGATGAATAAACTGTATTTAGATTTATGTGTGACTTACTCATTGAAGACCAGGTCTGGAGCGAAATACAGCATGGAGCAGTTAGTAAGTGTGTAGGTCCTCCAGCCCAGAGCAAACACCATCACCCCCATCCACGACAGCTGAATCACTGACATCTGATCGTTCACATACAGGTCACGGAACCCTGTCAAACACAGCCCTTTTAGCAAACACTTACAATCAATAAATATTAATAATCCTTCTTGGCTTATTTAATTAAAAGTGGAGACATAAAAACAAACATTTCACACACACACAAAAAAAAAAAAACATTATTCAGCCCATTATCAGCTCTCCATTCTGAGTTTAAACATGAACCTATCCCCCTCTAGTGGTTAATATTTGAACAGGTCTGCCTGCGGCCTGCTCCATCGTCAAACTGGCACCAGCTTTCTGGCAACGCTCGCTATCTTCTGATCTCGAGGCCTCGCCCAGGGCCGACAGGTTCTTGATACTTCCCAGACGAGCTTTTAACACACTTGTCTGTCTCTGATCTTTGCGCACCAGTTTTTTTTTTTTTTTTAAGTTCCAACCTTGTGGCGTACTGGTTTGGCAAAAACCAAACGATGGTATTTTCCAAAGGCGGGACTCGTGGCAGGAAATCCTGCTCTACCTGCACGGCCTTGGCTCAGAACGGCGTACCTGGAATGGCCTTGGCCCAGCGCACCACCGTTACCAGCTGCCGTTCCCCGAGCTCGTTGAGGCTGGTGAGCAGCGACGCGGAGCTGTCCGGTTGGGCAGGGTCGTGTCCGGCATTGACCACGTTGGGCTCGATGGACTGAAGGACGCTGAGCAGGGACAGGCAGGAGCGCAGGGTTGGGGGGATCCCAACAGGCAGGAACTGATGTCCTGTTAAAGATTTATAGAAAACAAATATATAAAGGTCTAATAACAACAGCAACAACAACAACAATAACAACAACAACAACAACAACAACAAAAACACAGTTTATTTGAAGGCACCTTTCATGGCCCTCAAGGACACTGTACAGTAAAATACAATATAAAAAATATTAACATGCAAATTGAGATGACTTATAGTTAATTCTTAAGTTTTAATAGAACTCGTTGCAAAATCATGAAAAGGTTAAAAAATAGCTTTGTAAAAAAATATCACAATTTATTTTTCCATTATTATTATTTTTTCTCATAAACATGTTCTTAAATACAAAAATAGTCATTAAAATTTGTGATCGGATGGCAACTGCCGCAATTGTTTCTTTACCTACAGCCCTTGAGTACAGTATGCAAATAAACATGCTTTAGTTACGTTGAGTGCAGACCCGCATTTCAGAACTGCATTTCAATTTATTTGGAAAACTGTTGGAGTTAACTCTTTCAAATTGCACCGTTAGATTTACATCAGAACAAACCTTTTTTTAATTTTTGATTTCCTATTTTTGCAACGAGTCCCTTCAAATGAAGATCTGACTCGCTGTGTAAGCGCTATGAGCATGTGTTAGATATGACTCTCAGCTACTACCACACCAAATTATAGCTGAATATCTGTAAAATTAGCTGAGTTAAAAAAAATGTTTGTGTTCGATGTGCTGATTAACTGTGCAGATTAACTGTGCAACCAGCTAAATGTTTATCGCTTATCAATGATTGCTTTGTGGGAGTTTCGTTAAATTCATTCAGTGCTTCATGAGATATTTTGGTTAGTGACAAACAAAAACACTCTGACGTCCACTAAAACATAATTATACACAAGCTACATGCATCTGAGCTTGTGTGCCATTAATCCTCACCACCTTGAGCCCTGGCTGCAGCACTTCCAGCCTCCATGACAACATCCCTGTTCCCTGCCCTCTCCTCTCTGTCTCCATGGCCCCAGGCGGTGGCAGGCTGCGGCAGCTCCTCCTCTCCGCTTCTCGTCTGTCCGGCTCCCTTCAGCCTGCGGCCTGAAATTACGAACGAGTCATCGAGATAAAAAGAATCTTCAGCTAGGAGTTGTTCAACAGCAGAAAATTTCAAACATGCGATCACTGCTAATGAATCTGGACGGCTTCTTGAGCTGTTTCCTCATGGAGAAAAAGTTCCAGATCACTGGTCCCAAAACTCAAAAGACGAAAAGGAAAAAAAAAAAGGGGAAAGAAAAATTCTACCTTTGATGAAATGAAATTGTTACAATGTATTACAGCAGGAACAGTTCTGATCCACTCAGAGGGAGGCATCTGACCACCCTGACCCCATTCGTCTAAACGCAAACCACCCATGATTTCCCTTCAGTGATCTTTATGGTTAGTTTCATACCTTTTAAGCTCATCCCTGACATGAAGCATCTCTTTAAGCGGCAGGAGGCACAGTTTTTCCGCCTCAGCTTGTCGATGGTGCAGTCGTTCCGGCTGGCGCACAGGTGGTTCTGCTTACCTGTAAGGCACAGGAGCAGAAGTCCTGGAGGATGAGTGCTCGTCTAAAAAAAACACCGCCTTGGGCCTCAACGATATGTGGGTGTTTACTGATAACTAATAACTCGCCCTCATAATGTCAGGTCACTGCGCCCTGTCGGCATTAGAGGATAAGTGGGTGTAAGAAAATTAAATCAGTGGATGTGTTCTGTACTAGTGTGTGTGTGTTTGTGTGCTCGGTGTTGTTTGTGTGCCTCACTCCCACCTGCAGCGGCCCTCTTGAAGAACACTTTGCAGCTGCCGCAGGTGACCGCTCCATAGTGACAACCTGACGCGTCATCACCGCACACCTGACACACTCTCCTCTCTGACAGGTACACACCAGGGAAAAAATCCCCATGTCTGCACAAACACAAAATAAACAATAAGAATAACGAGAATAAGAATAATAAGAATGTGTTTTAAAATAATTTATACAAATAAATGAAAGGCCTAGTTCTATTTCTTAAAGGAATACATATTACCCAAGGCCTTTTATACTAAAGTATAAACTAAAATCGACACATGATGAGGAAAAAACTGAGCAATCATTTCATCAAACTTTGTGAATGAGGTCCAGCACAATCCCATGCCATACTCTGAGATTTCACAACATGTGCTAGAGCTCAGGGGATCTGTTGAAGATGACTTTCAGCTACAACCACACCAAATTTTAGCTTCATAGACAACAAAATGACTGGATTATAGATTCCTATTAGTTGTCTAAGTTTGTATAGCTGTGATGATCTTCTTAAATTGAACTGCCCTCAAAACTCAATCAGCTGTAGAWGTCCATGCAGTGATTACTTTCTGAGACTTTCATCACAATACATCCAGTGGTTCATGAGATATTTTGCTAACAGACAAACAAGGTTGACACAGGCATGTAATGCTGAGTTAAAAGCAAAAATACCCTTTTATGTGCAGTGCTTAGAGTGTGTGTTGTGAATGACTCTCAGCTACTGCCACAACAGATCTTTGCTCAATATCTGTATAGCTGACKGAATCATAGCTATTTTTGTGTTTTCCAATTTCACTCGGATGTGTCCGCCAYCTTCAATTGTGCTGGGTCCAACTGTTAATCAGTTGTAGWYGTACATCCAATGACTACCTTCTGAAAGTGTCATTAATTTCCACGATCTGGTTCATAAGATATTTTGCTAACAGACATCGTTGACCGTGGACACGGATTTCAAAACGTTTTAAAAATAAATTGTTGGCAAATATCTGTTCAAAGTGTGTGCCGAGGATCAGCTGCTGCCACACCAAAWTTTTGCTCAGTATTTGCAAAATGGACAGCTGCAGCCGTTTTTGTGTTTTTAAGCTCAGTCCGCTGTGGTGACCACTTTTAACAGGTTAAATTCAAAGGTTTTGTAAATGTACACCCAATGATTACTTGACGAAAGTTTCATTAAGATCTGTGGTTCGTGAGATATTTTACTAACAGACAAATACACATAATAATAATAATAATAATAATAATAATAATAACAATAATAATAATCACTTCCCTTTTGCTTTTTGGTGGTAGGCAATAAAGACATGTATCTGGTTCAGTTTTACATAGAAAGTTTTAAACTCTAAGAATCAGACATATTAGCAGATTGAGGTCAATGTCCTTCAAGCTTTAGATCCCTAACTTTGTAAATCCAATCCAATTAGATATTTAGCCACTCATCCTGCAGCTGTGTGCGCACGCACACTGGATTGGCAGACTTTGAGATTAAAGAATGTCAGAGTTTAGTCTGTTCAGGAATCACTGACTATTGACAACTAAATGTTCTTCTTTTGCTCAGAGCTCCATCAGTCAACAGGTTGCTGCAGCTCTTTGTTGACATGGACTCTGATAGATTAACTCATCTRCAAGTCACTTAGTATGCGCAGCAACAAACAGGACAAAGAAGAGCTTTCTGGAAACAGATGAGAGATTAGATGAACTTTGCTTCACTCTGTGCGCAGAAACGCAACTCGTCCAAGGCCAAGAGAGGAACACATGGGGGCTGAATATAACTGCAGTGATTTAATGTTGCTCCACTGCCGACTTACAACAGTGTAGCAACTCATGGCCATACTAACAAAACTGTTTTTATTTGTGCAAATCCTCAAGTTTGATGGAGCCCTCTTCAGCTTCTACATGATCAGATACAAAGTGGAGCACAAGCACTTTCGCGCTTTTGTTTTCAATTACAGCCTGGAGAGAAAGCCAGAGCTTGTAAAAAAGTGGAGGGGAGAAAAAAAAAACAGTTTTAAAGCGCCAGGGAACAGACAAGTCCAGACAAGCGATCCGAACCAACTCATTTACCTGAAACTGCGATCCGTGCAGTCCACCCAAACTGAAGGCTCGGTCTTGACGGAGGAAAAAGTGGTTTGCCCTTGAGGGTTCGCGTCTGGGTAACTTTCCACTTGGCCGTACGCCTGCGCCGCCGCCGCCGCTTGCATGGTCCCTTTGCCCCCCGGCTCGGCCCCTCGCCTGTACCACAAGCAGTTACAGACTTGTCTGGACCCGAAGGTGGTGGTCTGCGCGCAGTTACAGTATTTGCACAGGACGCCAGGTGCGTCGGATCGGCGCGGCTCGCCGTACGCGCGCTCGTTTGCGCACCAGACGGTTCCCTGGGCGTCTCTGTACAAGCTGGAGTCGGCGGAGTAAGCCGAGTACGGCTTCAGAGCCACGACCTCGGTCACCTGGGTGGCGGCGGGGACCTCCCCGAACACGCTGGACCCCTTGCAGACGTATCTGGAGATGACCGAGCCGCGCGTCACGGCGGTCTGCGCGCCGTCCACCACGTCTCCGGATCGGAACAGATCCATGCAGCTCACCTGCCGCATGCCCTGGCACACCTCTCCGAAGTCGTCCTCCCTGAGGCTGCTGTCAGCCGGGACGAGCCTGCCTCCTCCCCCCGTGGTCAGGCTTCCGGGCGGTCCCAACGGGTCGGGCGCTCCGCGGGCGGTGGGGTCGCAGTCCGCGAAGGCGCAGCCGCCGCCGGGGTTCATGCTCCCGAGCGGAGACGACACCGAGTCCAAACCCAGCGACACCGACACGGCTCGGCTCAGCTCGATCGTCGGACACGCGTAGGTGTCCGCCGCGTCCCTCTCCGTCATGATCAGAGMCGTCTCCTCTCTGCCGGACAGGCTCGTGCGAAAGGCCATCTCCTGCGCGTCCTTGGCTGTTTCAGATCAGAGGCAGCGCGCGGAGAGCGAAGAAAACCCTTTCCCCCTGGCGAGCAAGCGCCTCCTCAACGAGACTCCACTCATGCGTCTCAGCGGAGGGAGAACTCAGATCAGTCGACGACGTTGCAGAGGGGAAGGGACGTCCCGTCGACCTGATCCACGAATGAAGAGAGCTGCAGAACTTTTTTTTTTATCTTCTTCTTCACAAAGTAACCATTTTCCCCCCCACTCGTCCTAAGCGTCGTGCTGCGCACAGAGTGGACAACTAAAATTAACCTCGACTGGAACTGATACAGAGACAGAGGAGGACTTTGAACTTTGCTGAACAACAACTGCGCACTCACTGCGCCCAGCCCCGAATGCAACTTCTGTCAAATTGAGAACAGAGCGGGTCCGCTCGCCCTCCAGTCGTTTAGATCCACGAGGGGAAAAAAAAGGATCTCGCGAGAACAGCCAACGATTAGATCCCAAATCCTCTTAGTTTCATCGTCCACATGTTCGTGCGAACATGTCTGTCAGCTGGTTGGAGTTGACTGACGTTTATTCAGCTCTAATTGCATAAGCTTGTTTTTAATCCTTTCAACATTAGATCGAATTAATGTCGTGTTGAAAACAGTTAAAGTGATACTGCAGCCATTTTAAAGTGGTTTTAGAGTGAAGTTATAAACAATCAATAACTTTCCCATGGGCCAGTCCTACCCAATTTGGCGCCCAGGTCAAAATGTCAGGTGGAATCACACTGACATTCACGATCATATAAGTTGTTTTATCTTTGATATTATTA